ACTCAAAGTAGAGTCCAATAGTGTTATAAAAACCTCGAAGGATTCCAGTAAGATATCTTTAATCATTTCTAAGATACAACGGTTCAAAGCTTAATCTAACAAATGGACAATTTTGCTTTTACACGATTTGGACAATTTTGCAGTTACAACCTCTCTCTCTCTCTCTCTCTCTCTCTGTGTGTGTGTGTGTGTGTGTGTGTGTGTGTGTGTGTGTGTGTGTGTGTGTGTTACAATAAATATAATCTTAGATAGATAGATAGATAGATAGATAGATAGATAGATAGATAGATAGATAGAATTAGTGCTGACATAGAAATCATAAGTGCAGTAATGACTGTCATTTCAGCGATCACACTACCCATATCTATCAACGCTCTATCCTTGATAGTAACCACCCATCCCACATAAATATAGCAAACTTCAAACTATATATTGGTGGCGCGAAATATGCCACGTGCCGTGGGCGCTACTCGAAGCAGTTTATGTTAAAGTCACATGAGCTTTCCTCAAATAGTGAAAAGTGAAGTAAGAATTTTCTTCAAACGTATAATGCATCTTTGATTACCATGGGTAAGGAACACTAGTATGATCCTATTTTTAAACCACTTGCCTAAATTAAAGGTAAGAATATGATGTTAACAGTAACTACCTGAAGAAAAAGAAGTACCAATATTTCGGGGTTTTAAACCGTTCTGATATCAATGGATAGCAGCTATCCAAAGAAATTCTGAATTTCTGAATGTTGCCATGAAAACGGGACAGCATGAAACTATTAAGATCTGAAAAGCTTCTTGAATTTATTATTCAGAATGGAGATGAGCGTATCTTCCCCATTTATTGTATTGGTATTTAGAGTATAGACAGATAATAAACTGAAGGGAAAAATCTAACTTTATGCACATCATAGGGCAAGTTGCATCAGTGAAACCAATGAAGAAGCACTATAATTTCCAAATTAATAGATTAACAAGCTACATTTGTATTTTGAGCTAACATGGTAAAGTGTATGTAAAAGTAAGATGTCAACGTTTTAAATGCTTGGCCTCACAGCTGTAATTTCAGTGTTTAGCGTAGAAACTATTCCCTGTAGATAAATCTCTATCTATAAAAGGCAGGGTGTATGTGTAACGAATGCGCGGCCGCAATTTTCGACAGATTTGCACCAAAATTTACATGCCCATGCTCCAAGTGAGCGGGAAGGCCAAGACCAACTTTGCATTTCCCAACTCCCATCGATAGTGGAAATAATCGATGATTTCATGCTTCTACGGCGGTTTTCATGTAGTTTGCGGCCATTTTGTACTGGCCAGTGTGAGAGTCTATAGCTGGCTGCCACGAATAGGCAGGAAGATTCTATTGGCCAGCGTGAGAGGCAACAGCTGACTGACACGAATGTTAACTAGCATGCTAGCATGCAAAAAAAAATCGATAGCTGCATTCGTCCCAAGTGGGAAAAATTTAAATCTGCATAGCACTTTACTCCAATTGGCTCATTCGCTTGCTTAAACTCAACGTTGATTCTGATTCCGCAGAACTGGGTTGGGTGTGAAAAAGTATTTGTTGTTAACATTCTTTTTTTCATTCGTTTTTTTCCAGTTACGAGTCCTTTTTTAAAGCTGATCGTTTTGTGTTCATTTTGTTTAGTTCTTTTTTCGTAAAAGATTTAATGTTTAGTATAGAGCTGAGAAAAAATTCGCAGTGTGAGATAGGCAAGAAGTAAGGCATGTAGCAACATCAGCACGGCAAAGGGCACTCCTTTAAAGGCAAGGAAGGGAAAAATATTTTAAGTCAAGTGATAGCGATTGCTGTACGAGTCGTACGATTTTTTAATCAAGCACGGGCAACGCCGAGCCATGCTGCTAGTCCATTACATACTGCAGTGTGCAAAAGTCATCAACCACTTTAAACTATAATAAATTTCTAACAATTGCCAGCTTATAAATGGATGTGTTCGGTTGTTATTTTATAACGGTCCCTACCTAAAGGAGCTCCCAAACATAAATACAAGATACTAAAGGGAAATGAAAAAAGTGGTGCCAAAATACCTTTACCATTTTTATTAATTGTAACAATGCAAAGCAACAATAAAACATGACATAAACATTTTAATTACAAAAGGCGAGTTTGCATTCTAAAAGATTACCACCGATAAGTTGAGGTGAGGTCCTCAGCTACCATCTTTGTTCGCCATTAGTGTGAGTCTAGGCGTTGGTGGCGGCACATCGTCTTTGCGTCGGACTAATTTCTTAATTGTGCCAAGTGCATTAATTCATCTCGGTTAATCCGCTAACTGTGCAAACAGCACTAACTCATCTCAGTTATCTGCTCGCTAGGAAGATGTTATAACCTAGAAAAAGTTACTGAATGAAGAATAACCAAAACGAAATAGTAATCTTTATAACATCAACAAAATACGATACTCACCAGCGGCGTGAAGTAGGTAAACCACTGCAAGTGGTGGACTACTTAGACAGCATATTACCCCCACTTACAATAGTGTCCAACGTATTTATGTTGCCAAACGTTCATTGCAGTTGAACTCCCTGCTTCGGCAGAGAGGAACCCGGACGAAGCTGTGCCGCAGGGCAAAGTTTTGTCCGGGGAGGTAGACAGGCCCTGAGCCCGTTTATGCGGGTTCAAAGGGAATATTTTTGGCCGAGCCTACGGGCTCGGAGAACCAAGCTAAACCGGCTTTGTGCCACATACATCCCTCGTAGGGGGGGAGGCGTTAAATATTAACGTATTTATAAGGATTGGGACATACTCATTAGTGTTCATAGGTACGGTATATAAAAAAGGGGTCCTTTTTAAAACCCTACAGATGTTTCGTATCGCGTTTTCTACAAATGAAAGATTGGCATCTATAAAATGCACACTAATTTTAACTTGCGAAGTTTATAAAAAAAATTATGTTATAATTCTGCTTGTTCTTTAGTTAGCACGCACGTTACGCCCTGCCAATATCTCATAAATAATAGACTATTCCGTTTTGATCACGAGGAAAAACGGGAAAGACATCAGTCGCTGTTTGGTTTCAGTGAGAAAGAAATAAATAAAGAAAGAAAGAAAGAAAGAAAGAAAGAAAGAAGATAATGGCGGCGATAACACTCTCATGTGAAATGAAAAACCTTATCAATTTTAAATCTTTTTATTTGTACCCTCTTACTTTTTTAAATAATGACCTGCATTCATACTTATGATTGTTATTGCAATATTTTGTTTGTTACTAAACTCAAATAGTTAACGGTGCAATAGGGAAAATTCTACAGTTATTTTATAGTCTTAGAACTCGCTAGGATCTTATTTAACTATTAAGAATTATGATTCCTCAGAAATTTTTAATAGCAAAACCGTGAAATTTCCACTGATACTACTAGTAAAAATAAAAATAAAAAAAGGAATAAGCATAAAATTAGTACCTCGTATTTATATGCTTGGGAGCCCCTTGAGGTAGAGGCTCTTATAAAATAACACCCCAACATACCCACTTATAAGCTACCATTTGTTAGAAATTTATTATAGTTTAAAGTGGTTGATGACTTTTGCACCTTGCTGCTCATAGTCTCTATTAATTATGCATTCTTATTTTTAAAGTTAATTAAAAGCGGAAATGGAGTTCATACAGTTCTTTTCCTAGCTTTGTAAGAATAATAATTCTACTGAAGGAGTGCGAATTATATGAGGCCTTGTTCTTGGTTTTGTCACTTTCATCTGGGATTATATATCATCCGTCCACAACATGTTAAAATAATATTCGTGCGCAATATTACATGAAAACATGAAATAAAATATAAATAGTTTTTGATCTGCATGTAATAATCTATAACATATTTATTAAATGATGGATTCCTAATTAAACATACAATTGATTACATAATTGATACATATTATTCACAGAACATATATATATTGATTTAGATCTATTAATGCAAAGAAAAAATAGATTTAGGCTTATCTGTATGAAGAAATATATTTCTTGTGTGCTCATTTAAGAAAACGCGTTTTTCTGGTTCAAAAATTGGTGGCCAGAGGAAGAGGGAGAGGGAGAGAGACTGCATTTTCGCGCCAAAACTGTCTTTCTAGTGCATTATAGGAATTTTATTTCCCTTCCTTTTACTATAACCTAACGATGCAGGGGACGCAACTCCTTCATCTTATTTATGAATCATTACAATTTTATAACGCCAATTTCCCTGTCAGGAGTTAATTTAGTTAAAACGGCAGTCACTTGTTCTTTATGAAAATACCAAAGCTTCAGAGTAATCAAGAAGAGAATTGGGTGTACGTAAAAAAATGGCATTTTAGCTATACTCCGAGCATGCGCATCAAATACGGCAAGTTCTCTTGCATGTACGTACCTATGTTTATTACTTAAACTCTCTATTCGGATATCTGCCGAAAAGTGACGGACAGTTATTTTTTTAATATAATGAAATCCCGGGAGGTTAATCATATTATTTAAAATTAATTCATTTTTTTAAATTTCTTTTTAAAATATTTGTATATTTTTTTTTATCTTTAATATTTTATTTTGTTTCTTTACAGTGTCCTTAATGATTAAAACCAGTTTTTCCACCGAAGAGGTGTGCTGGAGACCAAAGCCAGTTTTCAAACCATCTGACGTCAGTTGGAAGCCCAAATCAAGAGAACGTCGCTTGACTTCTGACACCGCCATGTCCGTTTACAGCATCTTTTATTCCATATTCCGAACGAGACGGAAACGTGAAAAGGTGTTCTTCGCCTTTTTGGCTTTTTCAGTCATCGCTCTTTTCATAAGAATCATCTCCGAGCGACCGGAGCCATCCTCGGCGAAAAAAACATCACATTTTCCACAAAATTCTGAAAATGTCGATACATCCGGTCAGAGCTGCGTTCATCCGGTGCTCAACCCAAACGACCCATCTGTCCGGCAGTTCTTCAAGAAAATACCAAAGCTTCAGTGTAATCAAGAAGAGAATTGGGTGTACGTAAAAAACGGCACTTTTAGCTATACTCCGAGCATGCGCACCAAATATGGCAATTTCTCCTGCACCTACGTACCGATTTTGAGGGGACCAAACGACAACATCGTAATAGATGGGAACGCTATAGAAAATATAATGGATCAAACCCCGCTGCAAACAGATTTCTTCCGCGTCACATGCATCAACAAGGATGGTATACGGTATCACAATGTGCATAGCGGCATTGCTGTCAATAATGACCTCCATTATCGAGCCGAGAAAACGCCTTTGCCTACAAATGCTCTAGGTCTCAGTGTCATCATGTTTGGCTTAGATTCAGTGTCTCACATGACCTGGAAGAGGATGCTACCGAAAACTTACGACTACTTTGCCCAGCTCGGTGGTATGGTTCTAGAAGGTTACAATATTGTCGGCGATGGAACTCCACAGGCGTTACTACCGATCCTCACCGGTAAGACGGAATGGGAATTACCAGAAGCACGCAGAAGCCATGCTAACGCCAAACCAGTTGACGATCATCCATGGGTGTGGAAAGATTTTAAAAGAGCCGGTTACGTGACTCAGTGGGGTGAGGATATGACAAACATTGGGACTTTTAATTATAGAATGCTGGGTTTCCAAAACCCACCTGTTGACCACTATATGCGACCGTTCTTCTTAGAGGCTGAGAAGGTCTACCGTTTCAATAAAGACTACTGTCTTGGTTCGCAGACAAGGCAACAGAATTTTATTAATTGGCTGAAGCAGCTGCTCTTAATGTATGGCGAAAACAGGAAGTTCTCGTTCATGTTCCACTCAGAATGCAGCCATGGTGATAACAATCTAGTTCAACACTTAGACGATGATTTAGTTGATTTTCTTAAGTTTATGGCTACTTCGGGCCATATGAACCATTCCATCTTGATATTCATGTCTGACCACGGGGCGAGATTTCAAAATATCCGGGAGACTGTGCAGGGCAAATTAGAGGAACGCATGCCACACTTCGGTTTCTTATTTCCTCGATGGTTCGCAGATAAATACCCCGAAGCATACGCCAATTTCAAAACAAATACCCGCCGGCTGACCACTCCTTTTGACATTCACGAGACTTTCATGCACCTCTTGAACTTCACGGACTTTAGCACCCCGGACCTGAAGTCCCGAGCATTCAGTCTCTTCAGAGAGGTACCTAAAAACCGGTCGTGTAGAGATGCCGACATCGAACCTCACTGGTGCGCATGTCTCGTTTGGGAGAAAGTATCGACCAACGACGAACGGGTGAAAAATGCAGCTCTAGAAACATTAAAAGTGATGAATGGACTAACTTCTGAACTTCGGTCCGATTGCCGAATCCTGCAGCTGGTCAATGTGACCAATGCACTGCGCCTGCGCGCCAACCAACAAGTTCTCAAATTCAAAAGAAGTAGTGATGTAGACGGACGATATGCTGACCTTTCTGACCAAATGGCCGAAAAGGAGTATCTTATTCAAGTGACTTTTCGAGTCACGCCCGGTGATGGCCTGTTTGAGGCTACAGTTAAGCATAACGTTGCCCTGGCCACATACGCTGTGAACGAAAAGGAAATCAGTCGTATTAATAAGTACGGATTAGCGCCAAGTTGTATTGCGTCTCGTCATCCTGCACTTCGTCCATATTGCTACTGCGCTAAACAAGCTTAACTTAAAACCCATCACATTAAACCAATTCTAAATATTCTTCTTACGTTGCAACAAAAAAAGATGAAAGCAAAGCATTACAATATATTTAAGTAATTAAGAAAACTTAATTTTTATTATATTTTTCAATCAATCTTTGGGGGGAAAGCAATTATCAAGATAGTGCTTTTAAAATTAAAATGCTTCCAACGTTCTGCGGTCATTTATTTTAGATGTTTTGGAGAGAGATCAGTCATTCATACCTAAGTATATAACTAATCTTCATCTGTTTTTAAGATTAAAGACTCCATAAGAAATTGATTACAGATATGGAGACTTCTGCAACATCGCCCTTACCTCTCTCCCCTCTGTCAAAGGTTTCAATGTGTTCGAGACAAAATCTCAATAAGGATCATCTATGATGAAACGAGATGCAAGGAAATGTGAATGCATAATCATTTTAATGCCACCAACACGCAAAACAATACAAACATCTACGATCGAAATTTAAACTTGCTTAACTGAATCTATATTCTAGATCGTAAATAACTGTCCCTTTTAGAACATATAATATGTAAGGGAGCTGAAATTATAGAAGGTTTGTTCATTCAAAGCCTCCACTCATCTGGTGTCTTTTACTTTTTGATTCCTTCTTCAAATGTAAGTGGACAATAATTTAGCAATGGGGGTTTTCTTAGTTATCGAGTTAGTATTAATTTTTATGCCCTTTTAGATGTTAAAAACATCATGGCTTCCAACTGTATTAATTACTGTTACTGTTGGAATTACTATTACTGTTGGAATACAAACCAGTTGAAATATTGGGAAGCAAACGCAAAATATGATCCCAAGTTTCAAATAAAGGAATACTCTCGAAAAGCATATTACTGTTATTCTCAATTAATGTGTGGAGAGCGAAAAAATATATGTGAATAAATAATGAAAAACAATTATCTTAATAGAAATGACAAAAAAAGTAATGCTTGTTATTAACTAAGACGCAACTGAGAGTAATCAGTTTTCTTGTTTTCCGGAATAGGGCTTTAAGAAGCTCGATTAGGCCAATATAATAATTGTGTACAATCACTCAATCAATTGTACAAAAATTGCATAGGATTTTATAAAAAGAAGGGACAATTCTATATCTTCCTCAGCATAGAATGATCTTAAACATTAACATAGCGTAATCGAATTTTAAAGCTCGAAGAGATCAATTATTCCCAATATGACATGACCAATGCCGTATATTATTTATAAATCTGACGTTCGAATTGTTACTTCGAGAAATATATTTGTTGGTAATGGATATATATTTTATTTTAAGCCATTTTAATTTTACAAACACCATCTTCATAATATCTTCAAACAAATTAAAGACAAAAAAATATTTTTTAAATTTTTCAATTGGGATAGAAACGAAGGGGGTTTGACGTCTTTGTTTGGGTTCGTACGCAGCGAGCCATAATATATAAGCTGTATATTTTTATTGTGGATAAAAATGATTTTGTACGCGGCCGCGAAAATGGTTTTTCAATGTTTGTATATAAATGTTGGTTTATCAATTATCAGTATTTGACGGGTGGTAATGGACAGTAAATGATGCTGAAACTAGGAACTTCAATAAGTCTGGGTAACTTGATAATAAACCAAAATGGCCACCAAAAAGGGAAAAAATAGAAAATATTAAAGCTTTAAAAAAAACTCAAAGCAAACGAAGTGATTAAACGGTTGAAGGAAACAATGAAGAAAATGGAGGAATTCAATTATGTTTCTTTCTTTATGTGTTGACTTGTATGTTACAAATAAAATTATTGTGAACAATTGATTATTTTCTTGTTATTTTATGGCATTGATAGAAAAAAACGTGTGTAGTTTAAATTTGCCCCAAACCCCTTTATGTAATAATAATAATAATAATAATAATAATAATTAGAAATACACGTAAAAATTTCATGATTTTCCTATTTGAATCTTCTGATGATTTTAATTCTTAAATTAATGATTGAATATGCTCCTTGTGAGCTCTACGATTGTAAATACTCCTTGAAAATGTGACTATTGCATCGTTAAATATTTCAGTTTATTAACTTTAACATTGCAATAACACTCATAAGTATGAATTCAAGCCATTATTTAAAGAAAATGGTTCAAATAAAAAGTTTTGAAATTGACAAGTTTTTTTTTTCCATTTCACTGAAGCAGACGTTACATTAGAATGTTATCACCTTCTCGCCTCTTTCTTTCTTTTTCTCACTGAAGTGAAACAGCGGATGTAATCGTTTGTTAAATTCATTTAGTGATTGAGATTTCAATCTCTGGATGAGGTAGTGAAGTCCATATATTCTTTTTCATGCAAGAATTGATATCACAGGGTCAAAATAACATAATAAACTATTATAAAATATTACTTATCAGCCAAATAGCAGGATGGTATTCGTTCGAAATGTTGAGTCTATATTAATATTTATAACGAAGCGTAATTCGAAAAGAGCAAAGTACGAGGTCTGATCCAAAAGTACCTGCACTGTTGCTATGGTAACAAACTTAAAGTACCCAGGTCGTTTGGCACAAAATAACCTTGAACGCTGTCGTGAATACGCACTAGTTTATAACGTTTGCGCTCACCCCCTTTTTTTTATATCAGTGCTTAGAAGGAAAGCTTGTAGAGTCTGATCATCTCAGCATATCACACATGTTCCATGAGTGGCCATGGTTTGTGCGGCAGTTTACGGCCAAGCACAACATTCCCCAAGTCCTACAACCATCATATTCCTCTTCAAAAATCAAATCCCACTTGAAATGAATAAGATTTCAAGACATCGAGGAAATCCAAGAGAATGCGTCAAGGCAGCTGATGCCTATCATGGAGTTCCAGGAATGCTTCGAAGCTGAATAAAATGTATGGCTTCAGAATGGGACTATTTTGAAGGAGATTAAATGACGAATTGGTATGTGTCGTAGTTTTCTTTTTATAATACCATTCCCGATAGTTTTTGATCACACCTTTTATGCTGACAATTCTTTAGCCTTTTATTTATATTTTCTTAAAATTCGCTAAAATATAGCAATAATTCCCGTCTATTGATTGTTTAAAGAATAATGTAAACAGGCGATATTCAGGAGATCTTTCGTATAAGGTAGATTATGACAGTTTTAGTGAATAAACTTTAAATCTACATCTCAATCTTTTCTATAAACATTAAATAATTTTAGATAAACGTTAATGCCTATCATTCTTAAACCAATCATATACAATGGCCTAAGAAAAGTTTTTTAGCCAGAAGAAATGAATTACATCCAATTTCAAAATTTAATTACATAATCCCAACTCAACATAAATAAGCAGTATTTGGAACTAGTATGGAGTGGGTCTTCCATTTGCTAGTTTTAGTGTTTGTATTTGATTTTTCATTGATTTGATAAAGTTATCAACAATTGTCTGATCCATATTTTGCCACTCCTTTAGCAATGTTTCTTTAAGGGTTGCCACTGATATGATTTTGGTTGCACGCTCTCAAAGTTTTCGGTCAAGGTGCTCCCAAATGGGCTCTATTAGATTCATGTCAGGACTTTGGGCTACCCTTGGCAGCTACCCTTGGCAGCTACCCTTGGCAGCGACTTGATACCTTGCAATTCCTTCCAGGCTTTTGCTACTTTGCTCATATGAGATGGCGCTACATCTTAAAAAAGGTAGACATTCTTGTCAAGCTGATTGGCTTCAAATAGTGACAGTAATCCTTTCTCTAATATTTGACAAGTTTTTGGACCATTAAACCACTCATCAACAAGAATCAGCTCGGATTTATCTCCAAACCAGACAGCGCCTCACACTATTACTCTAATCTCTCCATGTTTCATGGTCGCCTGCAGACATTCAGTGTTCTAAGTCTCATTCTGACTTATCCAAACGTAAACCTGTCTCGAATTCGAATATTACCAGAATTTACTTTCATCTGACCAAATTACAGACTGCCAAAATTCATAATCTTTGCTCTCGAATTCTCTCACCCAGTCCATATGCCTGTTCCTGTTAACTTCTGAAATCAAGGGCTTCTTTCTTGCAACTCTTCTTTGATAGCCTAGCTCTTTCGGAGTCTTCCGGGCCAAATATGATGACATTTCCATTCTGTTGGCGCCATCTTTGACACTCTGTCAATGGTTTCTGATGACTTCCCTCTTCAGCGCTCTTTCATTCGCTCAGACACGTTGCTTGGTCTTCCTGAACGTTGTTCCACACGACACTGGCCTTCTTCATTAAATATTATTAACCGTTTGATGATTAGCCAGGAAAAACCTAGCAATTTTTCTATTTGACGTGACACACTGATGCCATCCTATTATTTACACACGTTGAAATTCACCAATTTCCTTACTTTCACGAACTTTCATTGCAAAATATAAGTCAACTATCATTCATAGATAGGAGTAGTTTGAAATTATGGTTGGTAGAAATATTATGGAAAAGAAACGATTCCCTATAAATAAGTGCATTAATTTTATAAAGTCTAAAATTTGTCGCTGGAACAGTAAATAATATTCCTTTGCGAATTGCTTTAATGAGTTTTGAAGAAATGTAATACAATTAAAATAGATGAGAGAAGGTCGACTTAAGAATTTCAATTGTTTTATTTCTATTTACTTTTTTATCTTTTACTTTTTGGGGGGGGAGAATTTTGATCATAGAAATGCAATCACCAAAGAATACAAAAATCAAAATACACTTTTTCGTTTTTAGGTAGCTGATCTTGTGTTTTATTCATCGAAAGACACATATACCGACACACACACACACACACACAAACATATTAATGTATATATATATTAATAATTAAACAAAAACTTAAACCGTTGGTGGAAACAACGGACAACTTACCAAAAAAGAACGATATATACTTAAACATGATAAAATCTTGAACAAGGACAGCAATAAGAAAAAAGAAAAGACCCAACAGTGAACACTTACCTACTAAGTAAAGTAAGATGCTCGACGTCTAGATTACCTAGACAGATCAAAAAACGCTTGA